AGCTAACAACTGTCTATAACTCCAGTTCCAGGGGGATCCGACAGCCTCTTCTGTCTTCCGTGAGCATTGCATGACACGGGTGCACTTACCTACATGCAGGCATTAACACTCATACACATAAAATAAAATATTTTTAAAAAAGAAAGAAAAATCCTTGTACCTGAGACTTTTCCCGCTTGGTTTACAAAGCTCCACTTTCAAGTGCACCATTGCAATTTAGGTTCTTAAAGGGGGGACTTTATTCATTTGTAATACATGAAAGCTTCAGAAGTCTGCTTTTGGCCTTTATTTGCTTTTAGTTTACTTGCCAACTGTTTTCTGTACTTAAGTCTTAGGTGATTTTATCACAGTGCCAAACTTTAAACAAATTCAGTCAAGAACCTGCAGAAGCATCCCATGAGGTACCTTGATGGCCACTGTCTTCCAGGTATCCTCCCATATCTGACTCACTGTCAGGACTGAAGCTCCCTTCGTTGATGTCATCAAACAATTTCTCGTCACAGTCTGGATCCAGAAAGGTCAAGTATGTATAGAAAGAGGTGGTGAGGAACTCTTCTAGGTTTCCTAGTTTCACTCTGTTAAGAAGACACTATGTTAGGGGTACAGGTAGAGTGTACAAACTTCCACCATGAATCACTGTGAAACTCTTCAGCAACCAGGTGGCACTTCTGCAGGAATCAATAAATATATTATTATTCAGCAGATAGGCCTATATAAATAGTCAAGAAACAAAACCAAAAATTCAATAGCAAAGTTGGACATGATTGTGCACACCTGAAATCCTAACACCTGGGAAGTAGGGGCAGGAGAATCAGAAGTTCAAGGACATCTTCAGCTTCACGGCAAGTTTGAGGCCAGTCTGGGCTATATGAGACTATCTCAAAAAAACAAAAACAAGGCTGGAGAGATGGCTCAGAGGTTAAGCACACTGGCTGCTCTTGCAGAGAACTTAGGTTTCTTTCCCAGCACCCACATGATAGCTAACAACTGCCTATCTGTAACTCCAGTTCCAGGGGATCCAATGTTCTCTTCTGACCTCTGTGGGAATTGCATGACACAGGTACACCCACATACATGTAGGCAATACATTCATACACATAAAATAAAAATAAAAAACCCAAACAACAAAAAATTTAATTCCAAGTATGAAATAAAAGCACACAGCATTTAAAAGACAAAAGAATCATGCCAACTTCTTATCCCCAAGCCTAACAATTACAAATCTATTTTACTAAATGAACCAACAATTTTACAAAACAAACTGAGCAAACAACTTTAAGCCAGAACCAATCTTTGGGCTTCCTCTCTCCCAATAACTGGACCAGAAGCAATGATTCTCCTGATGCTGGAAGCCCATGGGGTTTCTGTCCTACAGGAATGTCAGATCCTGAAGAAGACAATGGGACCTCCATCTGAGCTACCATTATTAGATTAGGATTTAGTTAATACTAGCAAGAACTCAAGAACCCAGAACAGAACACTGTAAGGAGTAAATCAGAGTAAGCAATGCAACCACCTTGCAGGTGCCTGAGCTTGAGGGGGCAAAAGGGATATGACAATATGATGGCAAGGGAAGAAAAGCCCATCCTTGATTGACAAAACCCTTCTCCTGAAAAGTTAAGGGCCACTTCTAAGGCTGGTTTTATTTTGCCCTAGGGTTGGAGAGGTGGGCCAGTGAGCCAAAAGGCAATGGCAAATTTTTCTCAGATGAAGGCAAAAGTAGGTTTATAAGGCTGTGAGGAAAGCAGTCACTTAAAAAGCTCTTGGTTGCATGTGACTCAAAGTGGATACAAGGGAGGAGTCCAAGCTATACAGTGAGTTCAACTTCTTAAAAAGTCCCCAGATGTAGAGGAGAAGCCAAAATGGGATTCAACCTTAATTATCAAGAACTGAGTTTAGAGTTGAGGTATAGCTCTGAGGTAGAGAGCACATAAGCCTGAGACCCTGGGTTTGATCCCTAGCATTACAAAACAAACCAAAATCAAGTAGGACAGGTAGCCCAGAGTTCATTGCCTGTCAAATGGGAATCTGGCTTATCGCAAACTGAAGACCAAATGAGACAGTATCTAGAGTATATTGGAAATGCTCCAGTGACTGCACAATATATCCTTTTTGCAATGACTGGATCTCAATAACAGAATTTATTTGAAAAGATGGTTCATTATATGCCTATGATATTTTCTTTTGGTCATGATGCCATATACCAGGTGGCAGCTAATCCAAACTGGAGGAGCATTCAGAAGTGGATGCTGATGGGAGTTGGGGCAGCAGCCCTGCAAATGTAGATAGTACCATACTGGAGACTGTCTCACTGACACTCCCAAGAGGCCAAGTACAGCTTGCAAGGAGAGCTACTTAAGGCTATAGTGAGGCCCTCAGGAAGTTCAGAGGGTACAAAATGAAAAGGAGGTTCCTGCAGAGCCAGGCACCTCTTCACCTAAGGTGCCTAAGAATCACACCCAGGAGAGTCTGTCATATTCCAGCCAACAGACCCAAATGGGTCTCATTCCACTGAAGCTGGGGGACTGTGACCTATGAAAGCCTAGTCAGGTGTTTTGTTCTGAGGGCCACTGAGAAACCTGCCAAGTCCTAAGAATTCTTTTTTTTTTTTTTTTTTTTTTTTAGACAAGGTCTCCTGTAGCCACAACTTGCCTGGACCTTACTATATAGACCAGGTTGGCCTCAGTCTCACAGAGATCTACTTGCCTCTGCCTCCTGAGTGCTGGGATTAAAGGTGTGCGCCACCATGCTCAGCTCTATTAATTATTCTTAAGGGGACAGCATATTACTCACTATGTTTTGAGCACCTGCTGGCCCCTAGGTACTTGGTGTTTTTTCCATATCTTTCATCAGAAACACACAGCACTATACATGTATTCCAGGAAAGACATTACCTCTGAGAGACTGCCATGTTCACCTCTCTATGACTGGGATTTTGGGAAACCCTGAAAAGTTTGAAAAACATCAAATATTGCTTTAGACTTTATTGAAGTTTCCGACGGAAGATGGAATTGGATCAGTTTCAACTTCTTTTTGAACTCTAAAACTCTTCGTCTAGGTTCAGCAATTGATGTCAAACATGGGAGAAGGGTAGTAGCAAAAGTCTTAAAGAAAGGTCAATGTTACCCTTATTTAATGAAAAGAAATCACAACTTACCTAGCTCCTCCAAAATATCCATCTTCTAGTTTTCTAATAGTAGAAAGAACTGCAGGATGAATGTCTGATCCATCATTTGCTAAGGAAAAAATGATGAATGAGTTTCCTTAAACTGGGAATACTATACACTGTAGTGTTCTCATCAGTGCAACCTAATTAACATCCCGAGACCAAGAAACTGAATTGCTAAGGAACCACTTCAGTATGGGCACTACCATAGGAGCTGTCCTAAAGACTTAGATAAGAGCCTATGACCCAGCAGATAGTGTGCAGGGAATTACTGAGCATAGTGTGTGTGACAGGGAAGGTGAGTGTGGGACGGCCTGTCATCCTCCAGCAGGTGCAGAGATAGGACAGCTCGATCCTCAGCATCTCCACGATCATCTCATTGTCCAGGGCCAGGTAGAAGTGATGTTGATCAGTGAACTGAAAATTAGAACAGGTCAAGTCAAGGGCCACCCTTTATTTCCACACAACACCTATCACTCAGGGAAGCCCTAATTCTGAGCCTTGTTGCCTGGGAAGATGATTGGTGTTAACCTTACTCCTCAGATAAGGGGGGCACTTTTCATGAGATGAGACAAATCAATCGGTCACCTGCCCAGGAACTATAGCTACATTGGTATGGAAAGGAAAGGTATATTGCTAGATTTGCCTTCAGCTCCTCCCACATGGGATGTAAATGTCTTTCTCAACACTACTGAGGGAAAATCAATAGCCCCATAACTGCTACACTTTCTGGGGGTTACTGGGTTTGCAGAAGCTTTCCAGGTTAAGGCAAGGTGGGAAGACTGTCCATCTGACTGATGCCTGCTTAATGCCAACCAGAGGGACTGCGGCTTGATGTTGATGAAAATTGAATTGTTTTGGCCTCTGGGCTGGTGCATGCTCAGCTCTGAACTGGAACAAAAACTTTGAAGGTTAAGTTCCATAGTCAGTGTATTCTGAATTTCAGTCAGCGCCTAGGGACCTGCAAATCAGTCTGCATGCATGTCACATAGAGGGTCTGATGCCAATTCCCACAAAGTTTGGGGGCTATTAAGTTTCTGGGGCTATGAACCAAGTGACATGTCACCAGCCAATTTGTAAAGCAATGTGAACTTTGCTAATATTCATGACTGGATGGAAATGGTATACCCAATTTGATTCGATCATCTACTGAGCATCTACTGTAAGCATTTTATGTATCGCCATCTCAACCTATGCATAGAGAATTCTCCCATATTCAAAGTAGAAGTGCTTACCAGACAGAAAAGAGAACTTAATAAAAGGATACTGGGTAGTTTGCTACTGGTCTGCTCTTCTTACCTGGGGTGTAAAAGTAAAGATCTGGTTCCTAATCACATAGAGTTTAGAGGTTCCTAGGACGCCAATGTGCCGATATGGTCGCCCACTCAATTTCAAGTTCTTATTTCGTCCTATTTGAAATATAAAGAAGAAACTGGAGTTAAAATAAAGTAGCAACTATTCCTAGTGGCCTAGGCTGAGGCTGGGCTTATGTTTATGTTGGGCAACATGCTCTGGGGTTTGCTATTCCTAATACCATTGCCTTTCTTTAAAGTGGGACAAAGCTGAATAGAGACAATCTTACCCCATCTCCTCATGCATGTATAGAGACAGCCCCAGTTTGATCTGTATGGAACAGAACTATTAAAAGGACTTTATTAACATCGTCCTTTATTTTATTTAGTATTAGGTCATACAACTAGACAAAGTCAGATTCTAAGAAAGTAAAGAGAACTTTCTCTTCCACTTTAATGGGTTAAATGAGCATTTTCTGATACCATAGATAACAATTCAAAGTCTTATCAAGACACCAGCGACTCTTTCAACTGCAACATTTCAAAGGAAGCTCCTTGTTCTTCAACAGATCTGCTGAACAGTAGGGCCATCCTGTGGCAGTACCAACTGACTGGGCTGGGGGGAACCTGCTTGCTTGTCTGTTTTCCTTCACATCAGAGTGGCAAAACTGGTTGACCTGTAAGTGGTCTGACAAGGTCTTTATAACTTACAGATATCACCGTGTCCCTCACACCCAAATTCAGAACTTATATGGGCCTCTTTATCAAATATAACCCAACCTACCAAGCTTGGCATATAGGTGACTAAGAATCCGGCCTGGCTGGACTCGAATTGGATGGATGTCAGCAATGCTCTGGATATGTACTCCATGTTTCTGAAACAGCTTCTTAATGTGATTGTTTTCTGCTAAAACAGAAACTGCAAACAAAAAAGGCATCAGATGGTACCCTGTGTCTCTGCATAGTGACATGTGGAACTGCTCCCCTCTTCTGTCTAGCACTAAGCACGTTAGCACACTCCCCATGTCCTGGTTGGCTTTGGAAATGGTGGCATTTGTCCTGCTGCACTCCCTGCTTTTCTCTGTCCTTGCTCCTCCACAGCAGCCACAATCATATTTGTCAAGAACCCAACGTACAAGACAGTCTAAAAGATTCTAGAAATAGTCTTCAACAGGTTCCATACCAACTTACCACATCTGAAATAATGTCCTGCCTTCCTCTGTGTCTGCATTAATCTAAACATTCTGTGTCCTTTTCACACAGGGGTAGGAGTGTAAACAGTTCCCTCAGAGAAGGCCAGAAGCCCGTGCCCCTGGCTCCCAAAGGACAGGGAAAACAAGGCCAGAAGCCCATGCCCCTGGCTCCCAAAGGACAGGGAAAACAAGAGCAATGTGGTAGAATCTACTTACAGGGAATGCTTTGGCTTGAAGACCAGAAGGAAAGGGACTCTTTACCTCCCCAGAAAAGAAAGTGGGCCTGCTGGTGGGGATGCTGTTAGAAATTGGACTGCCTGGCTCACTAAAAAAACCCCACAACATAAGAGCCCCTTTGTAGCTGGCCTAAGCCCCTGGCTCTCTTGCTGACAGGGAGCTCCAAGTATCTGGGTCCTGAGGGCCTGTGTAGGAATGAGATTTTGCTTGGGGCCACATCAGGGATGGCAGGGCAGCATGTATAATGCCAGTCCTGATGGCCTTTGAGAAAACAGTGCATTGGCAATGGGATTGTCTGGGCAGGGGCCTGGAGAAGGGAAGTACAGTCAAAGGAAATAGCTTGTTTCTGCCCAGATACAGCAGAGCCTTTTGGAAAGTAGCAGGACTTAGGCCATGTTCAGGTCAGAGGAAAAAGGCTAGGCTACTATTAAGGTAGGCCCCCCAAATCCTACCATTATACCCATGGGCTGGGAGGCACCGAACATACAATATATACAAATGCCATCGAGGGCTGAATGTTACCTGTTTACATTTATAGAGCATCTGATGCTTTTGAAAGCTTTTTAATACCCATGATCTCATCTTCACAATGAGCTCCTGAGAGAAGCCGCTCATACTTAACTAGCCAGCTACAGCTGAGCCAGGACTGGAGCCTAACCCCCTAGACCCTCAGCAAATGAGATAACTGACTATGCAGGACTGGCCTATGGGCTTCTCTGAATATTTTTTTCCTTCTGAAGCTTCCAATGATAAGCAGAAATCCAGATTTATCAAAGCCACATAGTGGCCACTCTCTGTGAGAGTACTTCTTTTAGGAAGATGGTTGTGACTGAGACCTGAGACCCTCATGATCTGACACAGCAGTACGTGCATGAGCTCCTTTTTTCTTTCTTTAAGTGTGTGTGGGGCAGGGGGTGCACATGTGTGCTATAGCATATGTGTGGAATCAGAGGACAACTTGCAGGAGTCAGTTCTTTCTTTCCATCATATGGGCTCCGGGGATCAAATTTAGGTTGTCAGGCTTGGTGGCAAGTGTCATTACCTGCCCACTCATCTTGTTGGACCTGCATGCATTTCTGAAACAACCCCTCCCCTCTTCCATGTCAGACCATCTGGTAATACTTCTCTGTTTCACTATATTAGAAAAAAAAAAGCAGGCTGAGAAACATCAATATACCCTTGCCTACAGTTAGGAAAGCAGTCTTGAAGATGTAAGAGAAATTAGCAGAACATGCTCTGGTCAAGTGTGGAGCCTAAAGAGTGTTGCTCAATCAGCCCACTAAGAAGTAAGAAATATGTTCACACATCCAGCTTCAGCCTAGGTCCTTGAGTGAGAGATTAACCTGTAAGCTTCATGGAGATAACTACACTGTCGTAAATTTTACCTAATCAGAATGTTGTGACGGTTAGGTTTGCATACACTATTGATTGATTGACAACCTATAGCTCCTATTACTGGATTGTGAGCATGCTCATTAAATGGGCCAGTGGCCCCAAAGAGGAATGTATTCAATCACTGTTTTTAATGTATGGGTGCACAGGTGTCAATCAACACAGAATACAGACCTTATCTTCAAGTGTACGGCCTAAGCCAGGCATGGTTGTTCATGCCTGTAATCCTAGCACTTGGGAGGCTGAGGCAAGAAGATTGCTGTAAGTGCAAGGCCACCTTCAGCTAACAGCAATAGTGAATTCCAGGTCAACCTGTTTTTACAAAGTGAGACCCTGTTTCAAAAAACCAAAGACCAATAAAAAAATTAATAAACAAAGTGTGCAGCTTAATTTAAGGGGCAATATATTATATGCACATCAGGCTGACATCTAACAGTATGTGAGTGCTCTATGTGGCACTCAAAATGTGCCAGAGCTGCCAAAGGTCCTTGGGAGAGGAAGGTAGAAGGAAGTGCTGCTTCAGCTGCATGCCATATGCTAGCCCTGGGCTGAGAACTTTCCCCGTGACCATCTTAGTTCTTAAGATCCTGGGTGAGAGGCAGAGTTCTAGAAGCCCTGAGACACAGCCTGGGGAGCACCCTGGGAGAGGCAGCCCTATTGGGCCTCTCACCTCTTCGGAGGAGGAACTGGCTAGGAGGGAGGGAAGGATGGAAGCAGGCAGCAAGATGTCAAAACTCCAAGGGAGGAATGAATTACTTCACTTGGGTTCTGAGTTTTCATCTGGCTCAGGCTCTGCTTGTCAGAGTGATGGTACTGAAAAATGATACTCAATGACACATGTGTGACCCAGTGGCAATCTAGGTTTAGATTCCAGAAAACAATTGCTTTGTAGAAAGCAAATTTTATGGGTGGGAAGAATACCACTGCCTTTGGGAGTGCCTGAGTTATATGTTTTCTCATAGATACTGTCTCACTGTGTAGTAAATCATACATGCACATAACCCTTCCTACTTTCCCCCCTGAGTCAAGGTCTTGCTATGTAGGCCAGATTGATCTCAAACTCTGAAGCCAAAGATGACCTTGCATTTCTGATCCTCCTGCCTTTACGTCCTTAGTGCTGGGATTACGGGCACGTGTCACTATGCTCAGTTTATACTGTGCTGAAGATTGAGCTCAGGGCCTCATGTACACTGGGCTACACCCCTAGCCCAGCTTTGAATCCTTTATCTTCCTGCCTCAGCTTTCCAAGTACTAAGATTACAGGCATGTACTGCCATGGCCCTGTAAACACCCTTTAAAAATTAATAAGTAACTAGGGAACAATGTGAGTGAAAAATAACATCAGTTTTATACTTTAGAGATTAATAGTAAACATGTTCACAAACCTTGTACTACAACATCAGGTTTGACTGAAGTGGAAAATCTTCTATTTAAGGGATCAATTTCACCAGTGGCAAGGAATCCCTGAGAAGAGAGGAGCATTGACACTATGAAATAGTGACTTATCTAAGATTTCACCTTATTCCTATGATTGAAAATGAAATATGTTGGGGCTCAAACACTCAAGGATTTTTTTTCTACATATTTTTGACTTTCTTTGTATCAGTATGCTACTCAGAATGCCACTGATAAATGTGGCTCTGAGGGCTCCTTAAATACACTATCATCCTGGGTGAGAGAAGAATGGGCTAATACTCCTGAGCTATTACTAGTGCCAGGTTCTGGCTGAGTCCCTGCATGTGCACTGACTGGTTCTACATTCATCACCATTTTATAGGAGGGGAAACTGAGGTAAAAATGCCTATAGGAAGAGGTAGAGTGAGGATTTGGTCCAGGGGATGACTGTTCTGAAACTAAGTGTACTCTTTGAAACTACATCTCCTTGCACTTTCTAGAAATAATCCAAGCATCCAGAGGGGATGGAGGTGATCTGAGAGGACATGGATCTACTGCTAGGCCCAAAGGAAGACCTTTGCAGTACAGAGGATACAAGGGAGTAGCGTTGGTTATTCCCCATCTCTCACACACAGAGAAATATGAGCCAGAATGTATCATACCGACAAGTCTGTTTTCAATTTACAGATGAGGAAACTGAGGCCCAGGGAGGTTAAGAGACCTTTCAAAATCACTAAGCTAGTAGGGGACAGGGCTGACTTTCCAAAGAAGATTTGTGTATTTCTATGAATGAGACCATGACCATGAAACTTGGGAGAATAGACACTTCAGCAACTGGAACTCCCAGGGGTTGCTTCCACTGTGAAGCATTGGTCTTTACCACACCAGGAACCCAGTGACATTCTGATGTTCTTCTTTCTCCCCCAGTTTTATAAGTGGTGAAACACTGAGGGCTGCCAGCCTCAAGTGGGCAGTCTCTTTTCTAGACTCCTTCCCAATACTCCTGTGCAAGATCCAGAGTGCTCTGCTTAAGTTTCTCCCACTCGAGACTGGGTTTTTCAACAGAAGCCTGGGGGCAAGAGGAAATGGGTCAAGAGGCAAGAGACTGGGAGGTGGGGACTGGGGGTGTCTCAAGGACTACATGGGCCTACTGCCTCTTCCTGTAGACATCTGAAGAGCCCTTCTGTTTCCTATGTCTAGGGCTAGGGGAAGCTTCTAGTTCATCTAATAATTTCCTAAACCCTGTGCCAGGACCAGATGTGCTAATCTTGGTTGTGAAGCTTCCAGTATCTGCTGACTAACAGACTAAAAATGCAAGCAGGTTCTAGCTGTAGACCAGCAATACTGGCAGGAGGGGGACAGGGAGTGTGGTGTACAGCTGATCTGAAATGGCTAACTGTAAATATGGATATGCAAAGTCAGTTAAGCCTGGGAGCGGCGGGGGGGTGGTGGAGCTGGACCAACAGAGCCCAGATGACCTTAAAGGCATGAAGTTGTGAATGATATTCAGTTACTCAGTACTGAGAACTCATGTTCTGCCCAGTTTCCTAAACCTCCAATCAGATGGTTTTCAGCCCAGGAAGCCGTCAAACCCCCTACCTCTGCCAGCAATGAACTGAGAATATACAAGGACTGTCCCCAAAGATGAGGAGGCTTCCCCAGTGGAATTCGGTCTACTGTATGCGGATTCTTATACTCTTCATCCACCTGGTACAGAGAATGAGAAATCCAAGGTCAGAATGTCAGAAGACCCAAAGGTCATTGGTCTCTAGACCATGTTGAAGATAAGCAAAACAGTCCTGAGCCTCTAGACCAATTCTGTGCAATGCAGGATGTGGGGCTCAGAAGGAAAGGCCTTATCTCAGGGCCACATGGCTATAAGCAACAGAAGGGCTTCAAATCTTGGCCTGATCCTAGGCTAGTATTCCTTCCACAAGCATACCTGGGGCCACCAGTGTTAGAAGCCTGGCCTGCCTGCTCCATCTTTGGCTCTGGGCAGTAGGAAGTTCCACAGCTCATGCTTACATATGGCTGTATTCTCATCAAAAACAACAGCCTGCAACCACACAGTATATGCAAGACTGGATGCCAAGTGTAGTTTCTCCTGGCTTACCATCCCCAGGGGTTTATTAACTATGTTCTGTGAAAAAAAGTTCCCCAAAAGAACTCCTACACCTTGGACTGAACTTCCTGAAAGGCTGACCAACCGATTATTACTCCAGAGACTGTGGAGAGTTTGGAATGTTGCAGGTCCAGAGTCTAATTACCATTTATTTCAGGCCATCTTTAGCCCCCTTAACAGCCACTCATTACCCACCTGTTTCTGATCTAACATCCTGTGACTAACAGATTAAAAAAAAAAGAAACCTTTTAGAATGTATTATCCTAGCAGATGACCCAGTCTCACCAATCAAAAGGCTAAGAATGTCATCAGATAGCATCTGAGACCTATAGTAAAAAACCCCTTGCTTTGCTGTGACCCACCTACTGAATGTATCTTCCAATGTATTTGAAAGTGTCTTGATTTATGGCTTTTCTTTGTTCTGTTACTATAAAAAGGTAATCAACTGTTACCATGCTGGAACATGGAATTTGGGGTAACCTGAATCTGTGTTCCCGGGCCATGGTCACTTATATTTGGCTCCAGAATAAACTATCTCTTATCCCCTTTGAGGTGAGAGTTATGCTTTTGCATTGACAGTGCCTATGCAAGAAAATTGCCAGAAGATGGCACTATGTGTTGAGGAAAACCAAGTGCTACTAACACTCCCCCATCCCCCATCACGACTTCAGAAACTAGAATTTCCTGGGGAGCTTTTAAGCTTCTATGCCATTTTCTCTATCGTCAATATAAACCTCTGTGCCTGCTTGCTCTGAGGGCAGTGCCAGCTACAAATTGTTAAGTCTTCAGCTTTCTTTTTCTAAATTCCATGCTTCCCTTTAAGGTTTTGTCACTGAGACAATGGTTGGAAGCAATATCTCTTGTCTATATTTTCCTCCAGAAAACAAGTCACTTAAAGGAAACAGGTAGCACTTATCTCTCTCTAAGGAAAAAAAAATCATACCAGGAGGGGGAGTCATTCTCACTTTGATGATTAATCACTGATAATAAGTAAAGATTTAAATTTTTTGGCAGTAAGCATTTTAAGAATCTTAAATTTCTCATATAAGCTGAATGGAATTAAATGTCACTAGTACTCAAATAATCAAAATAAGAATAACAGTGTTAGGAGGAGATTCTTCACAATGCTATAGTGGTTATCTTTGAGTAGTAGGATTAGAAAAAATAATTACTTTCTTTTTTCTATAGACTCCTATATGGTTTACAGTATGCAGGATTATGTTTACAATTGGATAGCACACTAAATAGACATTAAATACATTGAAATATAAATATTAAGACTGCAAGGTCTAGAATGAGAGCTGTCTGATGCAAAGAACAGAAAGCAGTCAAGGTGCCTGGCTCAAAAGATGGCTTTGCTCAGTCTTCCTCCCCACTACAGGCAGCCTCTGTCTCCCGATGGAGGCATCCTCTCCTTCCTTTGGCTCTTCTGAACAACTCTTTAGAGGTGCATCTGCATCAAGCCTTCACTCTGGCTTCTCTTCTGGCTGTCTTTCTCTCACAGCCTTTCCTCCCTACTTGCCTACAAGGTTATGGTTACAGAACTACCTTGTGCCTAGTCCCTAGCCTGTATCAGGTACTGAGCAGCTGCTCACTACGTGTCTGCTGAACATACTTTCGCTAGCCCCCTGGCTGTGCAGTGGAAAGCTGCAGGCCACTGTGGTCCCAGGGGCTTTTTCTAATTTGCACAAAGGTGCCATATGGGCTTGTAGTGCCTCTGTCTGCAGGATTCCTTCTCGGTGGTCTCTACTTGCTATTGATGTGATTGAGGAGCCTTCCAAACTGTCATCTGCAAGTAACTAACACAAAACAAGGTCAAAGTACAATAGCATCCAATACTGGTGCCTAGCATGTAAGTGTAAACACAAGGAGTACAGGGGAAAGTAGAAATCCAAAATTAAGTGTGGAATTTAGAACAGAGAGCTGTAGAGTAACATTTTGTAATAAGCAATCAGCACTACCCATTAGAAAGCAAAGAGAAGCTTCATCATTAAGCATTACTATGGTCAGTACAATGTGCCTTTGGGAAGGCAGGAATGGTTAGTCTCTACCATAAAATGGGTATTCTATCCCTGAAGGCATTCATTTTCCCTTGCTTGACTTCCAGCTTCTAAATTACCTCCCACTGATGTCTCAGTACTAGAGAAGGAACAATCTGAATAAGGATTATGAACATGTAGCTGTGTAAAGTGACTCCCATCAGTCTCCCTTCCATCTAAGCATACAGCCACAAATGTAAAATGAACACATTTGTAGGAGATATACTTTTATGACATATAGAAAACAGCCATGGAAGTATCCATAACTTGGTCTGTATGGTAAGGGATGACCAGTTCTTGTCTAAAATCTTGCCCTTAACTAAGCCCGAGAGAGTCTGGATTATGTGAGCTGTCTGCTCATGCTAGAATGAGAATATGAAAATGCTACAGTTCAGGGTCAAGGGTCCAGGCTGGCAGGCCTGAGTAAAACCACTGGAAGGATAAAACCATCTCAAGGAGCCACCCAGTAAATCCAGGAGTGAACCAGCTGATCAAGTGGGATATCATCAATGAAAAAGAATCAAACGCTTCCAGCAATAGTCTATTCAACTTCTCACAGAAACTCAACTCCTTTCTTTGACATTCTCCTTGGTTCATAAGATTCACTTACCTAACACATAACAGCTCTTTCTAGATTAATGCCCAAAGTAATATATAGCAGGACTTTTATGCCTCATAGGATCAAATCCCAGACTCCTTTACATTTACTTTCAATTTTTTTGAGCTATACTCTCACTATGTGAGGCTGGCCTTGAACTCATAATCCTGCTACTTCGGCGATTTGGGTGCTGGATTACAGACACATGTCACTATGCCCAGAAAAATGTATTTTGTGTGTGACAGTAAAGAGAAGCTCATTATATCACTGTTTTCAAAGGTCCAGTAAGGCATCCAATGTATAGCTAATGTCCATTAGCTGCAAAGTGTACCATCCATTAGTAGGTGATGTGGCTTTGTGTGGAAGCCCAGAACCTGGGGTCTGGTCCTGGGGGAGGTCCTAGGGCTGTCTGCGATCTGACAGGGTTCAGAGACTCCCTAAGTGGAGTCACATTCTTTCAAAGGTTCCTGTTAATCTTCTGGTTATGTGGGTCATGTGTGTTTGGGCCTGATTCAAGCACAGACAGGGACAGTTATTCTCCAAAGGTCTTCAGCTGCAGCTTCCCTAGGACACCTAATGGTCAAGCAGGTTCCACATGTTTTCTCAAAGCTGTAGCTCCTTATGATGGATAGGAAAACCACCTAGACTTTGGAATCCACTTCTCCTGGAGAAAAAGAGGTCATTAGGCCTAAAAGAGGGGTGAAGAATACCAAAAAGTCAAACTCCAACTCATTCAGTCTAGAAGAGCAGCACAAAGGGCCCAGAATCACCTGGTTACCTTGTCTGGTGGGATAGCATAGAGTTCCGGCACCAAGTGGATCCCATCTTTGCCTCTGATTAATATTCCCTCTAGGGCCTCTCGGTACTCTTGGACCTGGAAGACAGCCCCATCACCATTGCTATAACAAAGGTCTGACAGTTAAAGTTGCACTGGCAACACAATTTAGAAAACAGTATAGGGGCTGGAGAGATGGCTCAGTGGTTACGAACACTGGCTGTTCTTGCAGAAGACCCGGGTTCAAATCCCAGCATCCATATAGCAGCTAACAACTGTCCGTAACTCCAGTTCCAGGGGATCTGACAGCCTCTTCTGTCCTCCTCAGGCATTGCACAACACGGGTGCACTTACCTACATGCAGGCAATACACGCATACACATAAAATAAAAAAATAATAAAATTGAAAACAACATAAAAAACAAGGTCTTTTGGCAACAAGCAGGTGAAAGAAATGCAGAAATGTTTGGCTGGAGGACAGACTCCTGCTGACAGCATAAGGAGAACCTAGACACCATTACTGGTTGTTCGTGCCTGAGCTCAGTCTCACCTAGCAAGCTTCCAGGGAAAGGGTAGGGCAGCCACTGAGACAGTAGCTATTTGGTCCTCAAAACTTATGCAGTACTCTTATATATACCATGTGCCAGGCATATTTCCCATGCCTTCCTTATTTAAATATTACTCTTGATTTGACTCAGATTTAAATTTTGCCTCATCAACAGATTATAAGCATCTTGGGACAGAACCTCTATATTAGGTGGCACATTCCATTTGTATCTACCTACATGGTAGTTTTTCATTTAAAACATTTTTGGCTCCAGGGGCTGGAGAGATGGCTCAAGTCAGTAAAGTACCTGTTGTGCAAGAATGAGGACCTGAGTTTGGCTCCCAGCACCCTCAAAAAAGTCAGCTAGGTGGCACATCTATAATCCTAGTGTTGGGAGTGCAGACACAGGTGGATCCTTGAAGCCACTGGTCAGCCTGCCTAGCTGAATCAATGAGCTCCAGCTCAGAGAGACCCTGTCTCAAAACACAAGGTAGAGAGTGGCCAAGAAAGACACCTGACATCAACCTCTGGCCTCCATACATACATGCACCCCCCTCAGCATGCCCATACCCACACAATCATGCACACATCTCAAAAAATGCTTATTGGTCAAGAAATATTTGCTAGGGTTGGGAGTGTGGCTCAGGGTAGAGCGCTTATCTGTAATGCACAAGGCCCTGAGTTTCATCCCTACCAACAAGCATGAGAGAGAGAGAGAGAGAAATTGAAAAACAGAACAATAAAGATATACTTTGATCCATATATACCAGTTCTTAAGATACAGTGCTCAGTATAATGAGAGCTTTGAAGCAAGCATTTCCAGTAAATTAAAAATGCAATGATAAAACTAACATATTAAAAGAAGTAAGAAGGAAGGGGAAAAGAAAATTTTTTATTCTTGTTTTGGAGCGCTCAATCAAATATCTTCCAGTTCTTCTTGTCATTTTAAATTTATGGATAGAAAAGCATGATCGTAATTGTTATAATTTTAAAATGTTAACAAGGGCTGGAGATGTAAACCAGTGGTAGAGTGCTTATCTAGCATGCAAAAGGCCTTGGTTCAATCCCCCCATACTGCTTCCTTCCCATATCTAAATAAAATGTGAACAAGTAGAAAACAAAGTATAGGTATAGGTCAGGTTCCCTGGGGCTACCAAACAAGATATTAATGAAACACAGTCATTTTTAGCTATTTAGCTTCTCCCCTGATAATTGTTAAGTCTGTTTACAACTGAAATTCAAAGTCAGTCATACAGTGAGCTTTCAGTTCTGGGAATAAAAGACAGAAGACCCGATATGATCTCTAAAGCAGAAGAATAAGAGTCAATAACGAAAGCACCTTAATATTTCAAGCCTCTTGCCTGCATTTCTGAGCACTGGACTTTTAGGAAAAGCCAGAATACACACCTGCTCATCTCCCTCTCTCCTAAATCTGTGATGTGATCAGAAAGGCTCCAAGAAGTCAGAAGGAGATTCTGGTAACAGTGACACTATTGAGTGGTGGTGGAAATCAGATGGGGTCTGGCTGGAGAAATCAGGTGATTGGGTTAATGCCCATGAAGAGTAAATTGGGAACCTAGCCTCTCCTACTCACACAGCCTTGTTTCTTGGCTTCCATGGGGTAAATAGTTTTCCTCTTCTATGTGCTCCCCATTACAATGTACCATCTCACTACAGGATCAAAAGCAATGAGGTCAAATCCAACCAGGAACTGACATTTATGAAACAGTGAACAAAAGTCAATTTTTCCTCCTGAGATATTTATCTCAGATATTTTGTCACAGTCGTAAAAAAGTGATTAACAGTGCAAGGCAGCAGCATAATCTAACTCTGTCTTTTAATGAGATCACTTTGGTTCAGCTGTAGAGGATGGAAACAACAGGGAGTAATGCTGCAGGTTGGGAGACAGAACGATGGTACATTTAAAAAAAAAAGATGTTATTTGGGTATCAGAGTACCCCTGAACCAGAGCTTACAGCAGCAAAATGACTGACTTATCTGGAAAAAACAAAAGGAACACCTGTCTGTGATAGACAGGAACTATGCTTCCTGTAGCACTCATGACCTTGTCTAATCCCTTCCTTCTTGAACATAGGATGGCCCTTTAATCAACCATGTGATGGAGATACTTTACCAATTCCATAATAAAACTTAAAACATTTGAAAAAACATAAGAAAGCTGGGCAGCTCTTTCTTTTGTATCCTGAGAGAAAAGACAACTATGAGGTTAAAAAGTCTAATGACCCAGAGATTGCAGTGCTGTAAGAAGTCCAAGTTAGGTAAGCAGAGAAGAATCAAGGGCCCCACGAACAGCCCAGCTGAGTACCCAGCATCAGCTGGCAACCAGTGTCAGCTCAGCAGCCATGTGAATGAGGCTATCTTACAAGTAAATACTTCAGTCCCATGAACCATCCCAGGTAACACCAGGAGAAGCAGAGATAATCTGTCCATAATGGCCCTAACTAAATTGTAGGATTTTGAGCAGATTAATAAAAAAGTTGTTTTAATTTTCTAGGCTTTGGAAAAGTTTTTGATGTGGCAACAGATAACTGAAGCAAAGATCTAAATCACTGCATAACTGTGCTATTAGTGATAGGCCTATTGGTGGGATGAAAAAGCTTATGGGTATAATATACAAAATTTTCTCACCTGAACAGCATCGCCACTGAAAATTCCATCTATGATGAAATAAGTCCAGAACACAGGCCATTCACACTCAATGTTCTCAAAGAGCTTGAGTTCAGCAGGGTCATAATGCAGACGGTGTGGATCCTACAACCAAATACATAAAACCTATAAAAAGTGGTATCAGATTTCATACATAATACCACGTGTCTCACTGGGTTTCTCTTGTCTGACTGATCCAATGCAACTCTGAGGCTGATATGATCAGGAGTCTACTATCATGAGGAGATGGTAGTTTTGGAAGTTTTCCATGGTATAATTTCAGAAAGTAAATCAGGAATACACACAGGACTCCTTGGTAATTTATTACACTAAAGCATCCTATCTGTCTAACAAATAGTAATTTGCCTATCACAATGCTTGGCAGATGATCTGTTTTATTTATATCATTATATTAGTCACTGTGGTAATTAAACCCAAGGGGGAGGCTACAGTGATCTTTAAAAAAATGTGTGAGCCACAGAGTTCCTTGCCCTTGATCTACAAGCTGGTTTCATACTACTGGCTTGTCCTGATGATCGTACTTCTCGACTGTCTAACTCCAGGCTTGCTGACTCCAAAATTAATACTTCCCTTCCCAATACTCCAACATATAATTATAATCAGTGGAGGGAGAATGACTCAGCAGCAAGTAGATATGGAGCAGTTAAGGAACATTAACAATATTTAAATACAACCTCTCTTGGGGTTTTATAGCCGTCTCGAAGGAAGCGACAGCATCCATAACGTCCCTAGGTAAAGAAATAAAGTACAGTTGATGAAACCAGAATTTTTTTCCCTTTTTATTTTCTTTCAGTAGTCAAACATCTACCAGGTGTTCTTTGCTATCAGTATAGAGTTATTTTTTAAAAGACTAAGCAACATAAATTCAGGCTTGATCAGTACTTGAAAGAGAATACCAAAGCATTCCATTGGCGTATGGGATAGGGTAATATATGATTATTAAGAGCTCAATAAATGACCATTCTCAGTTTGATTTATTGTATCACACACAGATGTAAAGGGACTCTCACTAGTTGAGGAAGCTATCAAGGCTGGTATTTGGAGTGGCTAGCTCCTGTGTGAAAGTTTGGGAAACTAAAAGGGTATTCTGCAGACTCCTTGCAGTAGGCTGTTTATGTGGGAGAAGCTCTGCTGTTAGAGGCCTGGCAAGGCTTTGGTGGGGGGGTTGGGAGGTTCAAGTATGGAGGAGGGGCTTCCTGCAGACATGATGTGGCCACTGGTTCCCTGGCTGCAGATGCTGTGCACCTCTCCAGCTTCCTGAGTGTCAAGAAGGGAGGCTGATGCAATGCTGTCTTCATCTGACTCCCTTAATCCCTAGATGGAAGCTTTGGGTGACAGTGGGGCTGTTCTGGCAGGCTTATCCTGGTCATAGAGGCTTATCCAAGTTCTGGGGGGTTCTGTGAATCACCCTAGTGGTAGAGGCCACTTTTCATCTAAGTACACCACTCTCTCCCTTTCTATTGAAGCTACTCTTCTCCATAGAACTTGACCTCCCCCCGCAGTTGCCTTTTTTTGGGAATATGATTAGAGGCCCTTCAACCTCTTTGTTTCCAAGGGACAAAGGCATTTCTTACTGAATCTAAGTGGAACAATCAACATCCAAACTTCAGCTTAGGAAACTTACATTCTTTGCCAATGTCATGAATTTCAGTTGGCTAGGAATGTACTAAAAGTCTCAGCTTAGTGATGTCAGTTACTGCATTTCATGGCAGACCAGGGATTTCCTCCGTTAAAAATAGTTTCTAGGTGGTTAATAACCACAAGGAAACAAAGATTTTCAGATGGCTGGGAAGTTACTCATGAACTTCAGCAATGGTGACAGCATGCAAAAGACCCATGCAAGTTCAAGCCAGACAAAATGCCAGCGCAGAAGTTGGGAAGAGGGTAAGAAGCCCCAACCTTAGCTGAGGAACTATTGGCAGCCAATAAATACTGAGAGAGGAGAGTTGGTTTTCTTTAAGGATATGATGCTAGATAGTCTGACCAGGCTCCAGTGGATGGATGCACACTAAAGGACATGTGAGGACATGAACTTGACTCTATAGGCGTCTACATATATGACAGAGTACACGAAATCCTGAGGGGGACTTTAAGAGGGGTACAGATATGAAGGGGGTTATGAATTGGGCAAAAATTCAATAAAAATAATTTTTTAAAAATTATACAAAACAATGTGTTTCATTATGACATGCTAATACAAGTCTATCATTGTACACTGCTCTTTTTAAGCTCATATCACTCTCTCTTGTCTCCCTCCTCCCTTCCACTGGTTTCTTTTCTCCCTCCAAATAGTCACCCTTCTGCTTTCATGCCATATATATCTAAAGCTAGAGTGTACATTATCAGAGAACACTAAAAATTATACAAAACAATGTGTTTCATTATGACATGCTAATACAAGTCTATCATTGTACACTGCTCTTTTTAAGCTCATATCACTCTCTCTTGTCTCCCTCCTCCCTTCCACTGGTTTCTTTTCTCCCTCCAAATAGTCACCCTTCTGCTTTCATGCCATATATATCTAAAGCTAGAGTGTACATTATCAGAGAACACTTGCAATATTTTTCTTCCCCTGTAAGTCCTCTTCTATTTTCATATCATATATACATATATATTTTAAAAATCTAAATTCTGCATATGAGAGAAAACATGTAAAGTTTGCCTTTCTGAGTTGAGCTTACTTTGTTTAATGTGATGATATCCATTCAGTTCCACCAATTTTCCTGAAAATGACATACTTACTCATCTTACAGATGAATAAAATTTCATTGTGCATATATACCACACTTTTTATCCATTAATCAGAACAAGGATTTCCATATTATTTGTGTGTGTGTGGAGGCCAGGGGCTGATGTCAGGCATTTTCCTCAATTGTTCTCCACCTTATTTTTTGAGACAGGGTCTCTCAGTGAATCTGGAACTCATCAATTCCCCTAGGCTGGCTGGCCACCAAGCCCCTGTCTCCATCTTTCTACTACTGGGATTATGGATATGCCCAGCTGTGTCAGACTTTTTACATTGGTGCTGGGGATTTGAACTTGGGTCCTCATGCTTGGACTTTATTCCCTGATCCATCTCCCTACCTCCAGAACAAGGATTTATTTTTCAACCTTTAAATTTGGGACTGTCAACTCTCTTCCCCACCTCCCCCAAAATTGGGAAAAGCATCAAGTGTAAAGTTTAAGGATACTTAGATATGCACATTATTTTCTGGCAGTAACTGTAGAGGTTTCACGAGATTCTCAGAGGAGTCTTCCTATGACCTCTAAAGCATTAATTAAGCAGCCCTATCTTAGAAGTACAACAGGGACAAGGATTAGGGTTCAAATGTACTGCTTGGGTGCAAGTTCTGCCATTTTAAGAGATACATCATTTAATCATGCCGAGACCTTGTTTACTTGTCTACAGACTCCACTTTGGATACTCTTTCTGTGAGTCCATTTAGAAAAACCAAACCATGAATTTCAAGGGTGAGCTGCTCCATGTCATCATGTGAAAGCAACATTTAATATAGAACAGAGGGCCACTAGCATGACAAATGCTTACCTGGAGCTTGGAAATTATTTCATTTTTGGTCACATTTACAAGGTTCATATCTTCTACTGCAAAGGCCGGGAAAGAAATAATAGAAAGAAGTCCAGCGTCAATTTCTTTAGAAGTTGATGCTCTTGGCAACATGGAGAACAGAATTGACTGAATAAAAAACAAAGAAGTGGTTTAAGCTAAAGAAGTGTGAACAGTTATATGCAGTATCTAGGACTCATCATCCTAGCCCCATTCAAATGAACTTGTCAGTTTGTAGAAGGGATTGGTCTTAACATGCTAGCCAACCTTGCCTACCCAGCCAATGCTTTCTGTTCCCTGGGAGAGGAGGAAGAAGTTGGGGAGAGCTTGATATAGTTTGGAGCCTGTGCTGAGAACCTTTTTTCCCTTCCTACAATGTCCTCTAATGAGGAGGAACTATGGGGTTATTTTTGTCAGCAGCTCAAGATGTTCTGGTTATAAAGATAGAAACCAGAAAAGAACACACATGCAGGACCAACACAAAGACACTGATGCTTCTGTGTAATGGGACCAGATGGATTAGATAATTTAGAAACTACCTCAAGAAGAACAAAAATTCAGAGGATCTTATGAAAACACAGACAAAATGGTAACAGAATTAGTTTAATTCCAGAATTTTTCTGGGGTTATCAGAGGCTCTATGAAATGACCTTAATAATAACATGACTGGATTAGTGACCAAAAACTTGGAAAGAAGTTAGAATTATAAAGAAACATTTGGGTAGGTAAAGAGTTAATGCTAAATACAGACAAAAGTCTAGACACCTGCAAACACAAACTCATTAACTCTTCCATATGATGATGGAGGTAAGGTATTATGTCCAATTCATACATGAGGACTCTGAGACACACAGAGAGATTCATGCCAAGGATGTGCAGCCAGCAAATGACCAACCGAGGATTCTAAACTCATATTTTTTTCCACTAGACAATGCATCTACTAATACACATACCATTATGTTTTTGTTAGAGTATACACCAAAACATACAAGAGTCCTGAGTACTATGTTTAATGGGGGAAACTGAATAATCTAGAAGGTGGGGAAAAGATGAATGGAATCCTTCAGCTTCAAACTAAAATTTTATTTTCTATAGCCAACCAATTTCTGGACCCAGTTCTTTAATTAAAGTCACAAACCACTTAACAATGAGGGGTACATCCTGAGAAATACAGTATTATGTGATTTTGCCATTGGGTGAACATGGTAGGGTATGCTTACCAACATATGGTATATAGCTTACTACACACACAGACTGTATGGTATATTTTGGTCAATGGAGGATAGTATGTACTATGGTGGTATCATAGTATGTAATGTCTTTCATTGATGAAATTATTACTACAAAGTACACAGCTATAGTCACTCCTCCTTAGGGTTTCTCTGTCTGAAAACACAAACTCCCACTAGAAGCTACTTACAAATTTTTTTTGAGATAGGGTCTCATGTTGCTCAAGTTGACCTTAAACTTGATAACTCTCTATGTAGCTGATGACCTTGAAAATTCTGATCTTCCTCTCTCTCCACCTCCCAGGTGCTGGGATTACATGTACCACCACACCTGGTTTATTATTTACAAGTTTTTATGTATCTGAATCACTTTAGCCCTAGCATGTAGTGGATCCCACTAAGGGCTTGATGATTGGCTAGCAATTGATGACTGTGTTTAATGGAGCTGTCTAAACTGTACCAATCGTTCCTTTTAGTTATCTGTATTTCAAGGAGGTTCTAGGAATTTGTCATCTCTCTCCTCTAAGCTATCCTGCCCAGCACTCCTCCTCACCTCATGTGAAATAGCACTTGTGAGCCATTCTATCTGGGAGCATTAAGACATGAACCTGAGAGAAAACCAATTATATGCTCAAAACCAGAGAACAGATTTTGCTTCCGTCAGAAAAAAAAAATGCTTTGTTAGCTCCACATACACAACAACATTTTGTCTTATGCCTGTGTAGTATTTTTTGGCTATGAAGTACTTGAACAAATTGACCGAGTTGATTTACGCCAATCCTTACAGTTATTTTGTGAGGCAGGAGGGGAGGTATCTACATAAAAACCCACTTTACAGATAAGGAAGCTGGATCTCAAAGAAGCCGAGTACCAGCAAACCCGAAAGGTGGGTAACCTGAACTGGAGTCCAGGCTTCCCCTCCCAGATTCTCCTTCCCTACTTTCAGGAAGAGGCGATCTTTTACCTGGCAGTGCTCAACTTCATCGGGCAGGACATGGATCACTGACTTGCGTCCTCCATGGGCTCCGAAAAGATCTAGTTCATCAATTGCTTCAAGTGCAGCCTACAAATACAAGTATGAATTAATTTTCTTTCTAATAAACACTCACTCCAAACTGGTACTCCTTTTTCATTAAGAAATCTAGCACACATGCTCCTCCTAAAGGTGATAAAGGACATCTAGTCTAGCTAGAGTCCTGGCATCACGGTCTCTTCATTTTCAGCAGCTCAGCACTTTCTTGCATGACACTGCTCTTTCCAGGAACAAGAAAGAGAACACAGGAGAACATTTCCCCAAATGAAATTAGTATTCTACCAACGAAGGAATATTAACAAGTCTATAACGTCATGTTTGGGGGAACTAAATTCAGGATTGGTCTTTCTTTCACCTATTTTAGCAGTTAACCTATCAGGAGCATACTTGGCACTTCAGAAAGCTAATTTGGTTTTAGAAAAAGTACTCTTTTCTGTCAGCTTACCTTAATAGAGGACATTTATTGTCGTTTTAAAAAACTCTGGCTCTGGGGCTTTCAATTCTTTCTAAGTAGTATGTCTGTCTTGAGAAGGAGGGTGGGAAGAAGGCATATTAAATGTCTATGGTAAAGGATTCCAACAAGTGGCCTGCAGGCTGTATCTGCCCCACAGGCACACTATGTTTGGCTTTACAAATCCTTTCCTCTCCCCTCCCCTTCCTCTTTTCTGTTGCCTCCTCTCATTCTCCATCCCTATCCTGCCTTGTCTCTTCTCTTCTCTTTTCCTATTTGGGGCAGGTTCTCACTCTGCTGCTCAGGTTGGCCCCAAACTCCTGGGCTCAAGTCACTGTCCTGCCTCAGTCCCTTATGGAGCTGGGATTAGAGGCATGCACTACAGTGCTGCCTTGCAGAATTTTCTAAATGATCTGAAATACTTTCAGATAAAACTCTCAGTGTTCCCAGTACCTCCCTCTTGCCCAGGTATCTTTCCATCTGGCTAGCTTCTCTGGTTATTGTCCCTGGTCTGCCACTGTAGTCCTGAACATGCGCATCTCATCTACAAAATGCTCATCTTCTTTAACCTTCAATATGACCCAGAAAGGAAGACTGGCCATCACTTATTCAGCTTCTTAACATACAAGCACCAGCAGATAAAGGGGGCACAGCACACTTATTTTCTGCCACACATATATATCAGTGTTAGAAACCTACTTCCTTGACCTGTAATGTCACTTGGCTGGGGTACACGTGTCACTTAAATTGTACATATTTACTGTAGATTTTTGAAAAAAAAAAGGCTAATCCGATTCAATCTAAACTCCTATGAAAAGAACTTAGGCAAAGCAGTAAAAATCCACAGAAGGGCGAACAAACAGGACTGTCACCTTGGCCATTCCCACAGAGCTTGCGTTCAGTTCTGGAATGCCCTGATTAGTCTTATCTCCACGCTCCCACATTCCATAATCCTGGGGGGAAAAAGCAACTATCAGAAGGGGAGGAAGAGTTACATGAGAAATCCTACAGAAAAACAATCCTTCATGCTATCAAGGCATATGTAATATGAGTGTGACTTCTCGAAGGCTCTCAGCTCCGTGGCTTTATATGCTCATACATTTATATGCTCTTGATCAATTTCAGCTTAGGTGACCTCTGTACAGAATTTTAGAAGAAAATACTCAAGTGCTCAAGTGGAAGAAAAGTACACACAAAACTATTCTCAGATTTCTTATTTCTAAAAGGTATTAATTTGTAAAAATGCAATTTGTAGCAAACAAAATATTTTATCTTAAAATCAAAGTACTGCCCCTGTATTTGGTCAAATCAATTGAATGTATTTAAAATAATTTAAAACTGATTTTCAGTATTACCTCTTGGGTGCAAAAAAATGTTAAGGAAGTAACTAGAGTCAAACTCAAAAGTAAGATACTAAACATGCCATGTAGTTAAAATCCCATTAACATGGATTGGTTCAGTACACTGTCATACAGACAACTTAATACATGTGTACCTAACTTTGGTTGCTGACCATAACACATCACCCAGTGACCATGAAGATGAGGCTGCAGTATGAGAAGGTTACAGATTTCAGAAATAAACTAGAAGGCACTCGTGTAAAGCTGTCATGTGAAGCTGTGAAACCTCCCAACTGTCACTCAGACAATCTTGGATTTGAGGACTGAGCTAATTGCTTCCTGCTGGGAGGACCTAGCTTCTGCTTTTACCCACAGTAAAACCCTCCAAGGAATCAAGCTGATGGAGAACACCTCAGACCACAGTGGAATCATTGTGCTGAGGGAAGCCTGGAAACAGCCAAAGTGTAACTTGCATGTAACTCTAATGACGAAAACCAACTGTTTCCAACTGCTGAGAAAAACAGAAATCCCACCTTGACATTCCTAAGTACTATGTAAGAGAAGCAGAAGTTAAGAGTGAAAATCCCATTCCAACAGATCGGGGCATATTCGAACCCAAAACCACATACAAAGGAAAGGGAATGAGCCATTAATTTGGCCCACCTGAGTGTAAGAATTATAGATCACTGACAGGCTAATGAGATACGATTTCTCCAATGCCCAGCTCAGATGGGTTATGTAAGATCGATGGTTCTTTCATTTGCAAGTAGAACACACAAATCTGGGGGTAAGGGGATGGGGGTGGCAGGGTGAGGGTGGAGATGGGGGAGGAGAGTTGAATATAATCAAAATTCATTGTATGAAATTCTTGACTTAATAACATTTCTCTTAAACTTAACAAAACAAAAATTCACAAACAACAAAACCAAAACAAAAATCCAAGGAAAAATATTTCTAAAATCTGAACACTGAAACTTATATACACTAGAGGCACTCTATACCCTGCCCTGCAAGCAGGCCATACAGGGGCCCAGGTGTTGTTTTCTCATGGTTTCCCACTCCTTTCCTCCTAAAAATCTGTCTTATAAACCCACAGCCATGTGATCCATCCTTAAAGACTGTGTGATTGGTTCACCCCCTGCTTTAGAGTATAAATTGATCAACTCTCTTTCCTAGTGGATTACATTCACATTTCTTTGCATGGCCATACCTTCTATGCCTGGCCTCTGCCACTGGCGCACCAACAAGCTGACAGACATTCTGCTATTTTCAAGTGCCAAGTTTTATCCGAGGTCTGTGCCTTTTTTCTTCCCTCTCTTCCTCAAATGCTCCCACTCCTGCCCTCCTCAAAACACACCTTTCCCCCAGAGAGTCATGGAGCCTGTTCTTGTCTGTGACTGCTGACTGCTCACACTATTAATGCAGCTAAACGCCCTTTCTCTTTCTTACTGCTTATCTAAACCCTACTCATCTCCTAAACTGCAATGGAAAGAATACCTTTCCCACAAAGATTCCTTATGTTTCTTTAAACTAGTATCTGTCAACTTTGGCACCACCAACATTTTGAGACAGATAAATCTATGCATAGGGTTGGGGTGGCTGTCCGGTATACTGTATGCAGTTACTGGCCTCAGCTCACCAGATGCTTTCTCCCCTAGGTATTATTACTCATAAAGTTTCCAGACATTGCCAAATGTCCTCTGTGAGAAAATGATTGCCTTTAAATACAAATCACTGCTTTAGACCTGGGATCAGCAAACTATGGCCCTTGGACCAAATCTGCTCAATTTTCTAAAGTCTACTTGGGACATGAGCATGCTCGTTTGTGTACAAAGCATATATGCATTTTCCTGCTATGAATGCAGAGTCAAGTAGCTATAACAGAGGTCACAGGGCCTGTAAAACAGAAAATATTTGCTTCCTGGCCCTTTGCACAGAAAATGTGCTGACCTTGCTTTAGGCTACAGTGCCCTTTTCTCTCATTGCCCTACCAACCGCTGCCCTTTCCTTACTGCCCTGACATTCAGCCTTGTAGTTTAGCTGTTGTCTAGAGGCTCCACTTTTCAAGGCAGACAGAAGCCTGGAGAAAGTGATCTTTGTGCATGTTTATGCTCACAGCACAGCCTCTTCTGCCTGTGGGATGCTGGGGTGATCCCCATGGTGTCCCACCTCCCTACAAGACACCAATTGGGCCTTCTCTTCAGCCCAATTCAGGCTGGCCCATATATATCCCTTGGCACATTTTAAGGTCTTATTATTAATAAGAATAATATATTCAGACAGAGTATATGGTGTATTCTAAAAGCATAACACCCTAAACTATATACCAGGATAAAAATATGTACTTTGCAGAAGTGACATAATCTTATTGCTCTAGTCTTGTTAACCTGCTAGTTAGCTCCAAATAGCCTGGCTTTCACAGAACTGTATGATTTTAATTTTTCTTTACAAGTGTTCCACCTGAAAAAAAGACAACCAGAATGGATACTTACAGCAACTTTATATGCAGCTTCTATATAAAAGACAAGATTCTGAATGAAGGCCACCTCATCAAGGGTGAAAACAATACGTAAGCCTAGTAAAAGAAAGCAACAAGGTTACGAAGTTATACTTTGAAGAGAGTTGCCAATTACAAATCAGAAATATGCTAGTAAATTGTCCTTGTACCCCCATCATCATTTTTTTTAATTGGGCATCAACGCTTAAGTCTGAAGTAAGTCATATGGTTAGTGTCTTATCTCAAAAAGAGGAAGGGAAGTAAAAGAAGGACAGGGAAGGAAGAAGAGCTCCATCTCTGTAGATGGGCCTATAGGAAGAAATAATTGAAAGATAAGCCATGAGTTCTCTGATACATGCTGGGCTCATGCAGAGATGATTCCAACAAAGCAAGGATTTTAGCCCAAAAGAACTAATAGCACTGTCTGTAGCCTTGAGTGACCAAAGCAAAAGCTTTTCCCTGTACATTCCCAGGTGAAGGCTGTCTTCTTTCTGCAGGTCACAGGCTGAGCCCCTGCAACTCTCTGCCCTATCACAGACCCAAATGTACATGACATCAGAGAAGCATGCTTGTCTTCTGCATAAACCACTACTAATTAAAAATACATGATAAGTTTTTAATGCATCCCTCTAAAATTCAGTGCTGCTAATATGACAGCACTAAGAAGTGGGACCAAAATGAGTTTAGGTCACAAGACTCTTCCCTCATGGATGGATTAGGACCCTAATGAAAGAGACTTTACACAGCATTCAGTTCTATCCATCTGCCATGTGAGGACATACCTTTCCACTCCTTCAGAGGAGGCAGCCCTCACCAGACAACTGAACTTGTCAGTACCTTAATCTTGGACTTTTCAGTCTCTAGAACTGTGAGAAAAAAAACTTTCATGCTGCATAAAATGCCCACTCTCTGGTACAGTTGTAGTTGCATAAATGTGCACTACTCTATTCCCTTTCTGGATTGCCACTCCTTGTACAATGGGCTGGAATGGCCCTGGCTCACCTGAGGCAGTCATCTGGGCCAAGAACAGGAGGAAGAGGGAGGTAGCATCCACCTGGAGGTGGCCCCATTGGTCATCGCCAACCACAGTGCTGCAGGTGGCGGTGTTGTACTTGGCGTGCAGACTGTCCTTGGTACTCTGAGTGTGCTTGAATTTCTCCACTTTGTCCACCTGAGGGAGAAGGCAAGCTGGCTCCACATAGCTACACAGGTTCACAGTTGGCAGAGGTCAAATCCAGGGCCAATCACTAGATCCACAGAGGGCCAATCACTAGCCCTCTTATCTGGGAGCCAGAGGGATGGGAGACTGCTAATGAACACTTCACAGAGGGGCCATGCTGGAGAGTCCCCCCACCGATTCCCTGGAAATACCTCAACCTACAGGGGTTTAGAGAGCTTTGCATTGGTGAGGGTCGGGCTAAAATGTGTCCTTGTTTACGGATTCCCCAACTGGGGCACTTGGTAGGTTCTCAAGGACACAGGAAAGGAAGGAAACCTTTTTAAATTGCAACTTCTCATTTCTTAATGTTGCAAAGAAAAAAAAAGCATGATGTCTTTGGATGTTCTAAGGATGGGGACAACATCACATTCATTTTGAATCTCTTCAGATCCTGGTATAAAGTTCTGTGCATAATATGTGCTCAATGAGTTGTTACATTTATCTGTCACTGAAAATATCAGTAAATAATGTTAATTTAAAAATTAAATAAATTTGGGACTGTAGAGATGCATCAGCAGTTAAGAGCATTGGCTGTTCTTGCAGAAGACCCGGGTTCAAATCCCAGCACTCACATGGAGCCTAACAACTGTCTGTAACTCTAGTTCCAGGGGATCCAATGCACTCTTCTATCCTCTGCAGGCATTGCATGACATTGGTGCACTTACATATATGCAGGCATACATAACACTCAATACATAAAAAATAAAAATATAGCAATTTAAAAAATTAGCTAAATTGAATTATTCTGTGTGTATGTGTACATATGTGGGCACCTATATGATGGTCAGAGGACAAATTTCAGGAGCTGGTTCTCTCCTTCCACTATGTGGGTCCCATGGACACAACTCAGGTCATCAGGCGTGGTGGCAAGTGCCTGTATTCACTGAGCCATTGCTGCCTCCAATAATGTCAACTTTTAAAAACTCAAGCACTTAATCTCAAGTGAAAACACACAGAACAAACAACAGTACATTGATTCTAGGAGTGGCTTAAAAATCTTTTTCTTTCTTTTTTTTTTTTTTTTAAAGACACATGTTCTCTTTTTACACATGTAAATCTTAGAAAGAGGGTCTTAGGCCGGGTGTGGTGGTGCATGCAGGTAGATTATCTCAAAAAGACCAAGGGGGGAAAAAAAGAAAAGCAAGGAGGAAAGTCTTCTTAGAAAATGTCTTTTGAAAACATGGTTCTATATTATAATAAAATTACTGGAGATATTTTAAAAGAGGAGCAAAATATTTTCAGTTTTTCTTCTTGAGGAGGAAAGTTCAAAATGTGCTAAGAATGCAAAGTATCACAATTAAAATGACACAAAATGCTCACTCTGATGATGCTCTGCCAGGTACTTCCTTGTCATACTGTACTTACCTGTCTCATCATGCACTGGAGAAGACCTCGCATTAGCTTCACCACATTCTGTAGAAATAAAGTGACATCAATAAGAAAGCTCAGGTTTCTCACTCCAAGAAAACCATCTGATTATCTCTATGCTGCCAAGCCAGTGTTGCTTGGTAACTTCCCAGAAAAGGCAGCTCCCAACCATAAATGAGTATTCTAATTGCTCAAATTATTGACCCTTTTCCACTCCATCACAAAGAAAGAAATAATTTTGACAAAGTGATTTATCCCAAATAAAAAGGCTAGATCAGATGGCACCTTAGGGCTCTGAAATCCAGTTACTTTCCATTGGAAGTTTAGCAACAGAATTTTTATAAACTTAATATTCTTGAACTTGATGTTACATTTCTTAGTAATTTATTTTTGTTATACTAAGGATGAATTAAGACTACCACACCTGTCCAAAAGCAATGCTGTTTTGTCAAAAGAGCCATTTGTGACACCATTATTGGACTATCGAGCAAAGTTCTTACAAAACAAAAGTGGCAGCCAAAGTTTCTTAATAATGTGATGTACTGCAACCAACTGCTATTATCAGCATATTATAAATAACAGCAGTCATTCTACAGTAATTAATTAGATACAACATCTAGGCACTAGGAAACTTGACTTGTATTACTTTCAATTTCTCAACCAGCCTTATGAGGTACATAGAATTTTTAGCCCACTCTATAGATGAGGAATCTGAGCCTGAGGGAAATGAAGTAACATTGCTCATATCTCCCAACTGGCAAAGGGTGGAGAAAGACAGAACCTAGATAATTAGACACCATGGACAGAAAGAAGTTCCTACCTACAGGCATAAGCATATCACAAAATGTACCCCACTTTGTGGGGGACAGCATAGTGAAGGGCCCTGAAAATTCATGGCCAGTGAAGAATCTAGGAGTCATATTCTTCTACCTCCAAAATCCTAGGATTCTAGAATATAATACTACTTTATGTCATAACTCTTTTGGGACATAAAATGTTACCTCAATTACAAGGTAAAGGTAGCATGGTTATAATCGATAGCATAAACATTTGTTAACCATTTTCTCTCCAAATAAAGGAAAGTCATTTCCCACTGGGAAGAAATACAGTGGTTTCCAACTAGGAGTGATATTTCTATTCACCAGAAGTAGGGAAGCATCTGGAAATATGAGGGTAGTAGCATTTTAATAATCACGATGATAGATGTGGGGGCTGGTGCTGCCATTTAATGAGTAGGGACCATAGTATCTAAATGCCCCATAATGCATGGTACAGTCTCACATAGTGACGGACTGTGCTTCTAGAACCCCAAAACAGAGTAGTGCCCCTAGTGAGAATCACTGAAGGATCATGAGTCATACTCACTGCAATCAAGGGTGATGTTTCTTTTAGCTTATTTATTTTTATTTTGAGATAGGGTCTAACTATGTGGTCCTAGCTGACCTGGAACTTGCGATGTAGACCAAGTTGCTCTCAAACTCATAGAGATCATCCTACCTTTGCCTCCCAAATGTTGGGAATAAATGTGTGCACCTCCATGCCTGGCCCAACCTTCAGTTTATCAACTATACTCACCAAACAGCAAAAGGCATTAAATATGAAATGTCGCATGTTTAAGTCTCACTATTATCAGTAAAAGAATCCCAAATTTAGTCAACCTTAGTCATTTCCAGGTAGGGGTGGGTATGTGTGTGTGATGAGCAATTTGTAAAACACTTGGCATCAAATGATTATTTGGCAGCAAATAAATGATTCACTAGTGTAAAACTCATCCATCTTTTTAGAGGCATAGTCAGTGATTCCTATTTGAAACTTTTAAAACTTCCTTTACATCAAAGACAGTTATTGCATCACCTCACATTGAGCACACAGGTCAAATCTAAACTTTGCTCCCTTAGACAAGCTTTTCTTATCCTTCACATGGTTGTCAAAGCTTTCCTCATACCTTGTCACTCTTGCCCATTCTGTTTACTATAAATAAGCATTAGCTGGGCTAAACTCTTCCTGGGCCTGATTATCCACTATCTGTGAAAGCCATCTAGGAATATATCTATCCAAGGGGTAGCTCAGTTGGTATAATGTATGCTTATCTTATGTGAGGCTCCAAGTTCAATCACCAGCCCCTAAATTCTATGTTTTAATTTTTGTTTTTATTTTATGTGTATGAGTGTTTTGCCTACATGTATGTAAGTGCACCCATGTCATTCAATGCCTGAAGAGGCCTGAGAAGTCATCAAATCCCCTGGAACTGGAATTATGAATGGCTTGTTAGCTGTCATGTAGGTGCTGAGAACTGAACCCAGGTCCTCTGCAAGAGCAGCCAGTGTTCTTAACCATTGGGCCATCTCTCCAGCTCCCTAAATTCTATCCTCATAAGATAAATCTCAAAGGTTCCCATGCCAAGATAATTACACTTTTGTATTTTATTTCTAGTTACTTTCCCATTTCTGTGATAAATACATGACAAAATAGCAACTTGGGGAGAAAAAGATTTATTTCATCTTACAACTTCTAGGTCATAATCCATTAATGAAGGGAGTAAAAGCAGGAACTTGGAGGCAGGAGCTTAAAGCAGAGACCATGGAGAAATGCTGCTTACTGACTGCTCCCCTTAGCTTGCTCAGTTACTTATGGCAACCCCTCACAGTGGGCTGGGCCCTCCTACATCAATTAGTAAACAAGAAAATGCTCCACAGACATGGCCACAGGGCAATGTGATGGAGGGTATTCCTCAATTGTGATTCCCTTATCCCAAGTGACTAGTTTGTGTCACGTGGACAAAAACTAACTAGCACAACTGACCCCTTGTCAACTTGACACACAAACACATCACTATTACACCATAACCTTTCCTTTCTTGTTTGTTCCCAAGATCTCATGTTAATATTAATATCACAACATAAAACAATAGAACCCTCAAAGTCCTACCATCCTTAAAAAATGCAAACACTTTAAAACTTCAAAGTCTCTTTAATATATCCAAAGTCTTAACTGTGGACTCCCATAAAATAAAAAACGAGTTACTCTTCTTCTTTCAAAAGGAAAGAGCCAGGCACACCAAAGCAAAACCAAAGCCTAGCAGTCTACTTCAACATCCAATATCAGGGATGCACTCATGATTTTCTGGGCTCCAAAAGGTTTGGGTAGCTCCACTTCTCTGGCTCTGCTATCTGTAGCACATAAAGCTTATCTCCCAGGTTCAGACTGGCTCTACTCCACACTTGTTGCTACTCTTTCTGGTCATCCTACTGTCCTGGTATTCAAATATGCTGAGGCCTCAACTGCAACTAAGGTTGCACATTCACCAATGGTCTCTCCTAGTGCCAAGTCTCAGCTTCTCTCCAGGACCCCCTCAATCCTGGGTTTCCACTGCAACTGAAGCTATACCATCACCAATGGCCTCTCTTGGCCGCTCATAGTGCCAAGTCTCAATTTCTCTCCAGGGTCTCTTTGATCCTGAGCGTTCATGCTGCCAAACCCAGTGCCATGAAGTAGACTCTTACACATTACCAAGTTCAGCTGCCTGTCTTGAGATGCAGCTTTGGCCCCCTCTGGACCATAGCTACTGTGTGCTATGATGAAACAGTTCCCAGAAGATTTTACCTTATTGCTGCTAGTCTATTGTCAATCACAACTGGTTTTTTCAGCCCCAGCTAACCAGCATCAATTGTCCCAGTAAAGCAAAGGTTTCACGTTAGTGGTGCTAGTCTCTTGTTAATCACAACTGATTCTTCAGTCCCTACTGGCTAAAACCCAGATTCTTAATTCAAATATATCACACAAATGACCCTGATAGAGTCTTTGATTCCCTCTGAAACTTCAGAAGCCATGTCTCCATCATTTCCATTCTTCTCAGCATTATCTTCGAAGCTCCTGCAGAACAGCTTGTTAAGTTCTGAGCACAGCTTTTCCAAACCAAAGTTCCAAATGCTTCCACAATCCTCCCTAAACAGCTTCCACAAACCTCCCTAAACAACATGGTCAGGTCTGTTAAAACAACACCCCACGTACCTGGTACCAATTTCAGTGTTCCTTACCTGAAAACTCTTGTGTTCAAGGGTAAAATATTTTCTTTCAAATTCAACAATGGCAAACCTTTGCTTATTAGGTATCTTGATTTCTGATTTTAAAATAATTCTCTTTGCTAGTATTGGAGATTGAACCCAAGGCATGCCGAGCAAGTACTCTACCACTGAGTGACACCAACCTTCTGATTTTGGAAAACTTAATAAAAGAACCTTATTTTGCTATATAGTGAATAACACGGGCATAAAAATTTGATAATACCAATTTGGCTCTAATCTAAAAGGGTAGCAATGAATTAATACAACCAACTTCCTGGAATGGTTCAAACTGAAAAGATATTCTAAGGGATTTTCAAAAATGTTTTAAACAATGGCAATCAATTTTGGATAGATATTCTTCAAAATGTGACTACTCTGAAAAGTGCACACTTTGCAGTGTCTGACTCTGATGCATCAGCTTTTTCCCCTTCGAGGGCCAAGAGAAGGGGTTTACAAAACCCTTATATTTGAAAACAATCATATTAATTTATGTTTTATACACACATATGCATAAAATTGGTTGAACATGTATGAGAGAAATGTAAATAGGTAGGCAAAGCAACACTTTGCGGTAGAAATTTGGATGCTTTTGTTTCCCATTTGGTGTGATTTTTTTATATTATCATTGTTTTGACAGGGTCTCTCTGGTCCTAGCCCTCCTGGGAGGGCTGGCCTTGATGTCACAGAGATCTGCCTGCCTCTACCTCCCAAGGGATGAGATTAAAGGGATGCCACCACATCTGGCATTATCACTGTGGTCTTTTTTAAAAATAAATCTCAAACAGAAAGATCAATTTGAGGTTGAGACTATCTAAATGCCTTCCTAGTATGTTCTTAGCAGAAAATGGAAGACAGGCAGGTACGTTACTGTTTCTGCACAAACAAATACTTCATCATGGGTTTTTTCAGTTCAAGGAAAAGGTGTTGAGCAGACAAGACACAGCTGTCAGTTACTATTACCTGTTCCAACTCATAGGCCTTGGCCTTATCTTCATCACGGTCAGCATTCTTTCGGTAGGCCATGCCCAAGCCCCATACAGCCAGGATGCTATAGATGTTGTCCCGCACCCAGGCATCCTTCTGGTCATGGCTGGCTGACAATAGCCCAGTGACAGGGTTCTATTTGAGAAGAGACATAAAAAATGCTTGGTATTACTCTTCACAAATCTCCTGGACAATGAATGCTTACCTAAAGAGGTGTATGAATAACTTGTAATGAGTAGCAGAGAGAGACCATAGTTTCACTTTTCTGTATTTCGGAGGCCTCACTTGTATAACTAGAAGATGAGACTAGAAAATTTCTAAGGAACATTTTAACTCTTAGGTTTTTTTTTATCAACCTTCAGACCAGACCACACTGTTGAAAGGGATAAAACAGAAGAAACACCAAACAGAAAAATCTACCAAGCTTTGCCGATATGTGCATTATAAGTTTCAGGTCTTGGGCCTTCATGTTTCCATAACATTTGGTAAAGTGCTGAACCTGAGAGTAAGATACCTGCATTCAGGGCCCTGCTCTGTCTCCTAACCCTACATGTCTAGAGAAGTCACCTGTCCTGTCTGAACTTCAGCTACCTTGTCTGCAATCCAGATACTTCATGCACCTGAACAGAAGGATATGTAGGGTCCCTCTTTAGCTGTAATGTCACTGGTATGCTCTAAAAAAGTTCTAGGGACTAGAGAGGTGGCTCAGCAGTTAAGAGCACTGGCTGCTCTTACAGATGACCTGGGTTCTATTCATAGCACTAAATGGTGGCTAACAATCATCTGTAACTTCAGTTCCTGGAGAATCCAATGCCCTCTTTGTATCTCCATGGGCAAGCATAACACTGGTACACTTATACACATGCAGGCAATATACTTATATAAAGAAAATAAAAATAAATAAAATATTAAAAATAAAAAAGTTCTAAAAGAAGACAGACCTTCACATAAAAAGTTACACAGAAATGTTCACAGCAGCATTACTCATAGATGCTAAAAAGTAGAAATAGGGCAAATATCTATCAACTGGTGAAGGGATAAAACAAAATGCAATCTCTACAATGGAATATTTGTTAGTAGAAAGGAAGTGCTAACACACATCAAACATAGAGTTGGAAAACATAAAAAGTGAAAGAAGGTAGTCACAGAAGGCCACATATTGAGTAATTTCATTTATATGAGTTGTCCAGTATTTATATAGACAGAAAAGTCAGTGGCTGCCCAGAGTTTGGGGTGGAGGTGGGATGAAGGGCTGTTCATAGGTATTCTTTTCTTCTTTTCTTTGTGGAGGAGATAAAAGCACTCTAAAATTAATTGTGGTAATACATGTACAACCCTATGAATATACTAAAATCCAGTTGTATACTTTAAACAGGTGAACTGGATGGTAAATAAATTATGCATCAACACATCTATCAATATATTTTGGGGGGGATAGGTACTGTGGATTCAGCCTAGAGTATCCTACATGCCAAGCAAGTACTCTACCACTGAGCTCTATCCCCAGCTCAACATTTTTAAAGCCAGTTTTGAGAAACTCTGAGCCTAGAAAGAAAATGGCTAAGAAATGAGTCATATTAAGGTAAAGTCCAGTTGACTTTTCCTGAAAATATACCAAGAAATATGTTTGTAATAAAATACACCATAACAATCAGAACTTTGCCACCTTAAAAATATCTTGCCAGCTTAGAAAGTATATTACCTGCATTCCTACTGACTGATTTCTGTAAGCCACCCAAATGGGTTCATGTCTTTAGAGGTCTGGGGTCTTTGACATTGGTATACAAATGGAGAGGGTACTGATGCCAATCTGCAAGCGAAAACAATGCCTAGTTCAGTGGTATAGTACTTGCCTGGCATGCACACGAAGCCCTGGGTTCAATCTCTAGCATTCCAAAACAAAACAACAAACTTACAAGGACACTATATTATTTACAAGAAGGCCCATGAAAAATTCCATTGGGTATTTTCACTGCCTGAGCTATTAGGTAAAAAAAATATTGGCAGTCTTTCATATGGTTCCACCCAAGGAATTCATATTTGATTTTCTTTTTAAATTAATCTATACTCTCTACAAAAATATCTGAAACTCAGTTAATACTACCTGTAGGAGCAACAGCATTAGTGTATTGAAATAGTTCTCCACAAACATCTACCAGTCAATGAATTTAAGGTCTACCAGAGCTGAAATCTTGGAATGACCAAAAGCTCATATCTTATTCCAACAGTGGATTACTGAATCTGAAAAAAACATTCACTACTGACCAACAACACATACATAGCATTATGTAACTTTATCTGTTCTGAGTCCTTTTGGGTAAGCTTGGGACAGGAAATTATCAGGAGATCTGGAGTAAGTAATCAACCTTCTCCTGGCAGTCCCTACTAACTTTGAGTCTACTAAAACAAACTGCCTTTCAATGACACAGCAGTGACGGCCTGCAAAGTATCACATGTAGTTTGGATTATGAAATGCCACTGCACTGTTAACTGAAAGCCATTTCTTTTATTCTTTAGTTTGGATTTACCTGCTAGAGTTGATTAGTCTATCCCTACCCAAGACTAGATTGTCTATGCCCTTCATTCAACTATAGAGAATAGGCTGGGTTTTTCAAGGGATCCCCACATTCAAAACTATGCACACACAATCTATGGAAAATTGCGATGTTACTGCACTAAGCAAAATGAATACTTTATGACCTGCTTCTCCCTTTAAATCTATAAAACATGGTAAATTATGTTGCAAGAAGTTGTGGGTAATTCCATTTGGTATGATTCATAAAACCTGAAATGTCCCTAGCCTGGTGGATACTCGGTTGCCCCAGATTCTGCTGTCCTTTCTAACAAAAATGGCCAAGCAGTTTTGACTTTGAGTCCTTCTTTGGGGTTGGTCTGTCCTGAATCAACTTGCATTTCCACCCACTGGTGTCTTAAGAGCCACTCAAACACACCCATTTCTTTAGAGATGGGAGGGATATATTTGGTTGACATTGGTATACGAATGAAGGGGGTATCGGATGTCACTCTGTAGGCTAAACAAGACACAGGAAAATGTACACCACAGGGAGAAGAGGATAGATGGGTCTAGGCCAAGTTTATGGTTTCTAATATGATAATTTTAACCACATGCTGCTTTCCAATAAAAAATTATTTAGTTCTAGCTGTGCATGGTGGCACATGCCTTTAATCCCAGCACTTGAGGCCAGCCTGGTCTACACAGTGAGTTACAGGCCAGTCTGGGCTGCAGGGAGACCCTGTCTCAAAAAGGACCAAAAATTATTTAGCTCTAACTAAATCTTCATATAACTATGTAGAAATATGTAACTATAATCATACCGATCTCTTTCAGGTTTTTCCCTTCTCTTTTGGGCTTTCTTCTTCCTATCCTCATATCAACAACCCCATAAACCCAGTCCACTGGGTAAACTCTGCATAGATTTTTTCCTTTGTGCTACTAAAACTGGATATTGTATGATAGAATATGTGAACTGTAGAAGAGCCACAAGCCTCATTAGGGAAAGCCATGAAAACTTTGAAGTGTCTAACTGGCCCTAAATTAGTAGCCTGACCTTGCTCAAGCCTGGCCTTGTTCAAGTCTTATCAACTTGTCACTCCCTGAACTGAGAGAGACTGTTTGTGGAGCCTGTCCCTTTTAGTGCTATAGATAACTCACCTACCTTTCTGAGAAGAAGAGACCCTTAAGGACACCAGACCCTGGCAGAGAGTTAACTCTTGAAGCCATGTGCAGCAGAGTTCCTATATAAGACCAGACTGCTCTCTCTTCAGTTTGCAGGTAATCATTCCTCAAGGAAAAGAACTGTCATCCCTTTGCTGGGCTTCCTGAATCTAGGGAGCATATTCCTTGCCTGTTGCAGGTCTGGCTCTGACTCTTATTTCTAAACTTTAAACTCCTTCCTTTTTTCCACCTCCTAAATCTAGTATTATCTATTACTTATTACAATAAAATAATACGTATACATATGCTTACGTACAAATTCTTGTTCACACACAAACTTTTTAGAGGGTGTCAATTTTTAATGATATAGGGATTATAGGATCACAGTTGATATGACATTTCTCATTCAACAGAGCCTTATGAGATCCCCTCAAGTCATCCAGTATAATTTCAATTCAAGAGCTTAGAAGCTGCAGAATTGTCCACGGTGAATACATATAATAATGCACCCTTATCATAGGTATTCATTTATATTCCAGGGCTTTTACTGCCACTACAACAATACAGCAATAAATGCCCTTACAATATATGTTCTTTTCTACACTGGCCTTATTTGTATAGAATAGAATCTCCAAAATGGAATAGCTAGGTTCACAGGTTATATTATATGCACTTTTAATAAATATTCCCACTCCTAAATATTTCACATTTTGTCAGTCTAATGGGTATAAAATGGTATCATATCACCACTCTCATTTTAAAATAATTTTATTTCTCTAAGTATCAATGAATTTAAGCATCTATTTACCCTTCTTTTGGGAAGGGGGTACTGGATTTGTTCTTCTGTTAGCTATCTTAGTTCCTTTTAACCAGGTAATGTTAACACAACTTTCCAAGTGTCATGTTTGCGAGCATAGGCTCCAGAATCAGTCTGTTCAAAACTCTATCACAACACAGCTGTGACCTTGAACAGATGACTTCAGCATCTCTCTGTAAAGTGGGGATTATACCACTTCTTCACCTCATAGGTAGTCTGTGAGGAATAAATAAATGTATATCAAGTGCTTTAGACTGTCTGACACATATATGTGAGCAGTAACTGACTACATTTAATATTATTGACCTATACAGCCTTCATTTACATTATTTCTTTTTCATGTACTCATAATTTCAGAAAATAAATTAAGCTATATGGCCAGGGGAAAGAATCTACAGTGAGTACCATGTAACCATCATTTTTATTAAGAAAAAAAGTCTGGGATACTATCTTTACTAAAAATATTACTAGTGGCGTCAGGCATAGTGGCACATGCCTTTAATCCCAGCACTCAGGAAGCAGAGGCAGGGAGATCTCTGAGTTCAAGGCCAGCCTGGTCTACATAGTAAGTTCTAGGCCAGCTGGGGATGCAGGAAGACGCTGCCTCAAAAACACCAAAAAAAATTATTACTAGCGGAATTT